GATTACATACACCAATATTAGTCTGATTGGCGAAATAAAGTACTTGGCTATTGGGAACAGTTAATCCAGTCTGAGTAGGCAGCGAACGTGTTAAGGAAATTTCGGGGATCCGCCTAATATCTTCTAATCTTAATGTTTAATTTCCGATATGATAGTAACAGTTTTGACCATTTTCTATACTGTTTGTGAAACTGCGCCCTACCAATAAATATAGTGTCGGATATAATGACTCATGTATGCTAGTAGAACTCTGCAATCCATATTTCGAACACACACACACATACACAAAAAGAAATAGGTATATTTTTTGTTAAGGTGTTCATTCATACTTAATGAACTGGTGGCAGATTCGCAGAAAAATAAAGATGTAGGCTTGAAGGTTTTAAAGATCGTTTGGGAACTAACTTAATACACGATCGAAATGGAGAAATAAATAGGAGACATAAATACACGGATCGAGGTTCTCGACCATAACCATAAACATCATACTTCTGAGGGGAGATACTCGGGTCTGGAGTAGCTATTAAATTTCGAACCCTGCTGTAAAAGTCAATTTCCTTATTCATCATATATACATGAAATATGTCTAATAGATTCCATCGCTACCCGTAAGAAGGCTCAGCTGAAAAAAAAATCACAAATCATTCCGCAAGTTGAGCATACCTTCTCCTGCTAATTAGTCTCTTAATAAGTACAATGGAAACTTAAAAAATGCATTTTCCATGTTGATATTCGTGAGAACTTCATTCAACGAAGTCATTTGAGGTAATACCTAAACTAATCATCCCGATGATCGTAAATTGAAAAGCAGTGAGTTTGATTGTCATAATTACTTTCGCCAGATATCATCCTTTGACACAGTAAAGCACTAATAATTTGCACAACGTATTTCTTGCTGCTGCTGCTTTTGTCATTTCTTTACTTTCCACGCCTATTGGCGGATGAGATGTTATGTTTTTTGGATGTTATGTGATATGTACATAACGAAAAAACCTGTCACTCATTTCTACCGGTCTGTCAGTCGGTTTGCCCGTAAATCCTTGGCCAGATTCTACCTTTAAGGTTACCAGTATGCCAAGGACGAAAATGCTTTGTAGTTTTTCAAAATCGGTCCAGTGGTGGCAAGCAAAAAAATACAAATCGATTAAGCGTCGCTTCGCTTTTTATCATTTCAGAGGATCCTTGTCATTTTTAGAAAAATATTTAGGGATAAACAGTGGAAATGTGGGGTGCTGTAAGGGGGTGGGGTAGTGTGTATCGCAATTTTTTGATGCAAGTATATTAATACGCACGCCAGCAATTGATCATTAAAACAGAGAACTTCGTCCTTCGTGTAGCAATCGACCTATCGCTGCAGGAGTGCATCGCTGGCCCTCTCCATCTCGAGTTAGTAGATTCGTCGAGAAAGAGCAGATAACAGGTGATTCGATATTCACATACGAGGCGGGCGCGATATTATCTATTAAATGTCGCGCTTTTAGCGTCGCTTTAACGTCGGTCTATAACGAGAACGTCGCAAGTTATTCGAACGGCCACACGCCAGTATTGACCGAGCATTGACCGCGTGGTAAAGGCTAAGGTACTTATTGTCATCATGAACAATTTTACGACTTGTAATTTAGTTTTGAGGCGCTACATTGTTATTTGGGCCAATTCCAAATCTAGCGTCATAGCCTTTTTTAAGCAATTGGAAACTTAGTTAGAGCGTCTACGATGCGCCGCACTATTTGAGCTTCTTTGTTCATGAATAATTGATAGTACGCGACGCACCTAAGTACAAGCAACAAACCGACAATTTGGTGGTCTTCCAAATATCAGACTGTAGTCAGCATGAAAGTGCATACTACAAATGGACTTGAAATAAATTATTTTTTGACATTTATGTCATTAAATTATAGTGTTATTTTTGAAAAATGCCAGTGTTAGTCAATTTCAGCAGGATGGTGCTGCTTGCATAAATTGCAGAGAGCGGCACAAGCCTAATGATGGAATATCTTCCCACCGGTAAGAGTTTGTTATTATGTTGGTACAACGATGTCATTTTGGTAGGCAGTTAGGCAGTGGTAGCCAATAGGGCAAAATTTTGCACTAAAACTACGCAATTTTAGCACCTCGATATGAGTTTTCAGCCATACTGCAATGTTGGAATGCCATTTATGTGGAGGGCTCTGTATATTTATCGACTGTTTTCTCAAACTCAGAGGAGCAGATAAATGTCTAAAAGGTTCATGTATTCTCCCGAATGCGACTCTCTCTCTCTCATAAATTCTATTTTTTCTGGTAGCTGGTGCAGCAGAAAGCGAGACCGTGCTTCAGGCCCCAGACTACTATTTATTCAACCTAGTTCTTTTTCCTACTTTGCGTTTTTCTCCCGGCTATTGAAAATAAATTCGGGATATGGTAATCCGGGAAACGTAGCTCCAGAATTTTCTCAATTCTGATATTGTATTTCCTAGATGGCGACGATGGCTTACGACGTTGCCGTTGCCAAGTTCATCTTAAACTTCATTGAATACTAAAGATATTCTTGTTATTTTTCAGTCGAAGCTCAATATTCCTTGTGAACATTGTAATTGAGCAGGCATACAGTTTGTCAAGCATGAGTGGGGTGTAAAGATTACAATTTTGATAAAAAAGACATGGAATACTGTTATGCAATTCATCTTAACGGAAGATGTATTGAGGGATTTCGAATAGCAGGCATTGTGCTAAAAGATTATGCTTGATATGCTGTATCGTTCATAAGCTGTTCAAATCAAACATGTTGCCCCGTAGTGTAGGCTCATAGAACATAGTGTAAAGAGATCCGCAGGGTTATTACGTGAAACACTTCACAGAATGTCAAAAAAATTCAATTCCGCATTTGCTCGCTATGAGCGCTGTGAGCCAAAAGTTTCGTCCATGGAGGAATGATTCAACAACACGACATGCTCAATGGCCATGCTGCAAGCTGCAAGTCAGTTCCCAGCATGCTTTGTTCATTCCAGAATACCGAGATAGTCTGTAGAGTAGTTGTATATAATCTACCCGCTATAACCAACTATCACAAATTTATCAATAACGACCAAAAAATTAAACATAATCACCACACAAGGCATAAACTAAGAGGAACAGTAGTCTAGTACCTAGACCAAATAAATCTATAATGCAACGACCATTCCTTTAATTATACATAAGTTTACCTGACGATATAAAAGATCTACGATTAGACGATTAGTTCAAGAAAAAGTTGAAAGAATGGATTTTTTCTTTGGTAAGACCAGACGCATACAAATTAATAGTAAATGTGATGAAATAATTCGTTGATTAGTTGTATCTCTAGTCATGTTTCAATAATACAGTTGCAAAATCAATGGTCCATGTACAGGCAATGCCTCCTATGGGCCGATACTTCATATTTATCTACCTCATTCTTTGTATTATGTTTCAGGAGTAAATGAATATCATTACTATTGTCATATTATTATATCACTGAGAAAATGAAATAGAAAATTCAGAAACGGGTGAGAAGCAATATCGCATCTGTATTATATTGGTCTGCACGAGTACGAGTTCAGTGATATTTGCTGTGTGAAAATATTATTACTGAATATGCTGCCCTTGAATTATACTTCTTAGCTATACCAGACGGGTTAACTGTGTTGTCCTGTTTAAAGTTATAAATTACAATCTTTCCTGTTTTCTTTGCGTTTTCAAAACTTGAAGAATCATCGTAGGAACGCATCACCGTGCTCGCGTTGTGTACAGTTAAGCCATATCATATAGAAATTAGGAGTGGCGCATCACACATAAAACATTTTCGAAGGGAATTATCATCAACACGGATTATTAGCACTCAAATCCTCACTATGCACGACTGAGAGAATCCAAGAAAATATGAAATCTGAAGATTTCCAAGGCGTTTCAAGAATTTCGAGTGATATCCAAAGGAATCTATCCGAAAAAATCTTTGGTTCCTATAGTGTCAGTTGCTAGCCTCTTGAGACAAACGGTCTTAAAATCAAGGACTTTGAAACCATAGATATATGATATACCTGGAAATTCTAACGAAACGACAACTCACAATAGCAGGAATTTGGGAAATGATCGAAACAGAATTATTCAATATTCCAATGCCAGTAGGAAGCTACGGGAAGTACTTTTTTTGAACTGCAACACTATCAGTCTTCATCCCTGGAACTTTTTTAGACAAAAGTAGCCTTTTGTCGTTTGCCAACTACTCTATCGCCTGACATGTGGGAGTATTGGGAAATAGGTAGACCGAAAAAACCACTTGTTAGAATCATGCTACTGCCTTCATACAGATGCTAAGTTTCTGTGTTAAAACATTTCTCTGAGTAAAGCAGGATGTGGCAACTCTGCTCTCCAACGAATTTCCTCCTCCGTCGCTTCCATTTCACTTAAACGATGCAATTCAACAATGGCCAGGCTTGCAGGCGACGCGACGACGTCGGTGAGACATCAAAGAAAATTACCGACATATTCAAATCCTGCTGATCTTTATCCGGTGGCTGGGCGCGGAACTGGCACACCAGACGAAGTTACATTTCTACTGCTACTACGAGATGAGCCTTTGTGAATAGGCAAAAGGAAACGCCCGTCTCAGCATCAGTACCATAGCCCCGAAGCTGTTTCCCACCTTGTTATTTAATTGAAAGTTGCTGTTTGTGTGCCAACAATGGCACGGTGATGAGTCGACTCCCTGGCGCAAATATAACAGCGAGAGAATTGGGGAAATATTACAGTCACTATTATGGCCACTACCACCACCATCAAAGAACAGAGATTTTTGAATATGACCTTGGGGACTATTCGACAAGATCGACTACGAGGGATGTTTTTTAAGTTTTGCATATAGAAACATAGTAGGACGCGCGGATCGAACGTCAGTACTGAATCTGAACCTCACTCTTTAGTAAACTTAAATTCAAAGTTTCACAACAATACGTGCAGTGTTCTCACTACAGAGAATTTTTAAGTGTCACCAAGCCATTAGAAAAATGTCACTCAACCGAGAACATTTTCGCGCCATAATTTATTACAACTTTCAGAGACAATTATCGCAACAAGAATACCTTGCTGAGTTACTGTCTGTTTTCGGCAACGAATCGCCACATCAGTCGACAATTTCCCGTTGGTATGGAGAATTCAAACTTGGACGGGTGAGTCTTAGCGACGATTCCAGGGTGGGTGCACCAAAACAGCAGTCACCCAGGAAAACGTCGATTCGGTGCGCAAACTCATCATTGAAGAAGAGAGACATATCGCGAGATTGAGGCGTCCTTGAATATTTCAAAAACCTCAATTCAAAAAAAATTACATGAAGAATCAGGAGTAAGAAAATTAGTTCCTGTTGACTGAAGAGCAGAAAGCAGCCAAGGTTAATTGGTGTCAAAGAACGCTTGACCGTTTCAATTCCGGAAACTCAAAAAACGTGTACAGCATTGTTAGTGGTGATGAATCGTGGATTTACTGTTATGAACCAGAAAATAAACGATAGTCGGCTGTTTGGGTGTTCCAAGGTGAAGAAAAGCCAACAAAAGTCATCCGTTCTCGAAGTGCTTCGAAAAACATGGTCGCGACATTTGTGTCAAAAGCGGGTCATATTGCTACAATTCCTCTTAAAGAGCAAAGAACTGTTAGTTCGGATTGGTATACCACCATTTGTTTGCCAAAAGTCATCACCGAGCTTCGAAAAATCAACCCCGAAAGAAGAATCATCCTCCACCAAGACAATGCAAGCTCGCACACAGCCCAAAGAACAAGGCAGTATTTAACGGAAGAAAACGTGGAATTATTGGACCATCCTCCATATAGTCCCGACATAAGTCCTAGCGATTTCTCTACTTTCCCGAAAATTAAAAACAGACTGCGTGGTCAAAGGTTCCAGTCACCAGAAGAAGCAGTTGACGCATTCAAAAATGCTGTTTTGGATGTGCCAGCAAACGAGTGGAATAAGTGCTTCGAAAATTGGTTCGAGCGCATGCAGATGTGTACATGTATTAATCTTCGTGGAAAGTACTTCCGAAAACAATAAAGTCATTTAAAACCACCTACCGTATTCTTTTATTTCCATATGCAAAACTTACAAGTACTACTCGATAAATCTTATCGTGTGTTTAAAATTAAGTTCTCACTATTGGGTTCTCGAAGTCTGTAAGAGATACGGGGTCGGCTAAGTGGATGCAAAGTTACGCATGTAGCTGATTGAGAAAATGGCACTGGGAGAGTCAGAGTCAGTCAGAATATTGGCGGAGATAGACGGAAACTACTGTATTTTCTTAAAATCGATTATGTTTTTCCTCACTTTGACTCAGGTGAGATTTCTCTCCTCAACAGTTTTACGTCCAATAATTAGAATTTCAACATTTATGGATACCATATCGGAATTTGGCACAGGTAAATAGAGTATTTAATTCTGTTCCAAGGTATGTATAATATGCATTCCGAAAAAGTAATATTTTCAAAGTTGGAATGTTTGAAGGATGTACATCTGCCCACTTGTCGAAAAGCGTTACTGGAGTACGACGGAGACTCTGTACGCGACATCTCAGACCAAAATTATTCAAATGCGAGATGCTTTCATCGGCTCGGCTATGACGGGTATGAAGCGTGTGCAACCACCTGCAACATCATCGAGAGGCTTACCGTTTTCAATGTTTATATTATTATTCTTAAGATAATAAAAAGATTGGAATTATCTTGTTCTTTATTCGATGAGAGAGAGATATGTAGATAGAGAGAGAGAGGGAGAGAGAGAGAGTAACAGAAACTTTTTGATATTTGAAGCTTTGTAACATCAATTCATGCCACGATATGTACAACATTGCATCATCAAATTTGGTAGTAGGAACTAGTTACCTATGTCCCTATGCGGAATCCATAATAACAGGTGATATCATGGAAGAAATAACTATCTAATAATTTGTATGTCGCCTTGGAAAATTTGGTTTTTTCTCGTTAATTATAGTTTTGCACTAGATAAAATAGATTTTGGAAAAAATTGGTATTTCAGTTTGAATCCGAAAACTGGCATTGCATTAGCATACCAGCAACTGCGCTACGGGAGGTTTTAAATAAAGACATCAACGTACAATATTTAGCATAGCGTTAGCATGCTAGCAACTGCGCTAGTTTTACAATATTAAAGTATGACATATTCTAAATTGATTGAATTTTATAATCGAAACCTCTATTCACGTGTGCAAAAATGCAATATGGCGTCCATATGAAGTTGGAATTCAAATTGTCATCCTGTAAAGAAAGAAATAACAACATAAAATACGATTTTGGAAAAAATCGGTATTTCGGTTTATATCCGAAAATTTTTAACTGTCATCTTCTTAGTTACCTAAATGTCCAATTTTGTATTTAATGTCTTCTAAAGGTTAGGTTACAAGTATCGCTTGTTCAACGCTATTACTTACTAACCGTTGGTCGCCTTCCCATCTGACACTGAAAGAATTCTTATTCAAACATTAGAATGACGAAAATCTTACCTCTAAAGGTCATCCATATTATAAACATGACTACCGACACTAGGCTTTGTATTGTCCCACAATCAGTATTTATAGAATTTGATATTTATTGATGGCGTAGCCACGATTTCAGATAATAATGTATAAGGCTATACTATATAATATTGATAGTGAACTATTCGCCTTAGTCTTCTTCAAGATCATTCCACGCCAAATCAAGATTTTTGAATAACGCTATTATTAAAAACCCCGTAGTCGGTACAAATATTGATTTTCGTTTCCAAGTGTGACCCCGAGTACCGAAGTACAAGGTGAGTTGGCTTTCAATAGCGGCGTCAACAGCGACACTTTTATCGAATTTAGATAGTTTCAGTTTAATTACGAAGCATTTCAAAGTCGTAAAAATAAAAAAAGTCAACTTTGAATATGACCTCCAATTTGAACGTCGAAAGCTACGAGGTCTATCGCAAGGAACTACCCAATACGGCGGGAGCCAGTCTTTCGACCTCCACGTCCATGATATGAGATCCCATTTATCTGCGAACATCTTTGAATGTCGAGTCGAGGTCTTCTTATTGAGCTACTCGCTTCGAAATAATAGAAAATATTTTCTTTATCGAATATGACCTTAATCACTCATGTGATCATCGACCTAAAGCTAAAATGGATACTGATGTGACCAAAGAAGGTGATTTTTCACACCTGAAGCATGTTTTATCACAATGACATTTGCATTGATCCTTATAACGACTCTTATTCACAAATAGAACTCAGCGTGCTGCTTTCGTCCGCTAGAACAGAAACAGCCGACTATAGACAGCTGTTTCCTGCTTTTTAAAAACTCATCGGCACAGTGTTGGCTTGGTCTCTGGGACAACGTACGAAAGCTTAGCAACTATCTCCAGATAGCGCCATCTATCACCAGAATCGGTTACTGCTAGAGTGAATAGTAGTTATCGCTTGGATCTGTCCGCATTTGTCGCCACTGTGAGCGATAGATGGTTCTATTCTGGATGTATAGTAGATGTGGTCCACTCGCCATTGAACAATTAAACATGCTGCTTGTTTCCAAAGGCCCAACCAAGGACTGTTTGATATTTCGATAGAACGTTTCGAGTACAAGTTATTTCCGACCGTTTTGAGCGGTTTTTTACATCAGCTCTTAAAATAACATAAATTGAGATACCTCCAAAAGGTTCTACAAGAAAAACAGAGATACCTTACAGACTGTGTCGGTACCCTTAAACATTAGTCGCCGTTTACTATACTGTCTTATGAGAAAATGCTTACTGGTGCACCTTCGCCCCTCTAACTTAATATCGTTGCCCTAAAAGGCCTAAGAACTTCATTATTGCACCTGGTGTGAACGAAATAAATTTCGTACATTCTCCGGACGTCGTAAATGCAAAATATTAGAGGTCATATTTTCCTTCCGGAACATTCATTGCCTCAGCGTACGTTGACTACTGATAAATGAGACTTACGGAATTTTAATAAACGCCATGTTTGCACATGGACGCCCATGAAGCTTCTATTAAAAGGACAGAGGGTTTGTCGTTTCCGGGAGTCTTTATTGTTCGTCTTCATCGTAAAATACATATCAGAGACGCGGATGTATAGGACCATGCACCATTCTTATGAGAGAAGTAATTCCGGGGGATTTGCTCCAAACCTAGAGATTATGTCCTCTAAGTGATTCTGATCAAATGCCATCATTGCAAAAAAATTGATATCAAGTGATGCAGAAGGTCCAGGACTCTTATTTATGTAATTATATCACAAATGACTCAAAATAATTGTTATTGCAAGTTGTCGCCGTTCTGCCCCTTATTAACCTCCAAAATCGCAGAGGTATCCCTAGCGATGTGGTGTTCCTTGAAAGAGTCAGATTTTATCAATTCTTCGTTAGTATCTTGATCTGAGTGGTTCTTTGTTGTGTCTTGCCTTAGTTGTCTGAAGACGATTCTTTAAAGTATTCTCAGATGTAGGTCACCCTAATCAGAAGCTACGGGTTAAATAAAGGACGAATCCTTCGGTTTTGCTTTCTTCAAAAACGTATTTTACTCAGCTGGTGGTACTAGTAGACATTTTTGCCCCCACACGGGTTGCTTTCCAACTTTAGGAATAGGTATCTTACTCTAGTGAGAATAAAGTGTAAAAAACGTACCTATTCTATCCTGATTACTGGCGTTAACATACAGTCTGTTTTTCTGCAACTTTGGAAGATTGACTAAACCTAGAATGATAGATATTTTGAGCTATTTGTGATAAAAATAACTAATCCAAATCATAAGCTATGTGTTTAGCTAGGTAAAAGTAATTTTTGATCTCACTATATGAGGCATAAATACTCAACTTCTATGCTTCCTGGACCATTTAAATGGTTTCAACTGGAGTTGGTGTAATGGTAGCATTTGATCAGCGTCAGGTGAAGGACGCAACCTATCGGAATCACTTTTCCCATAAGGATGGTGCGTGGTCATTTGCTTAAATCGTACAAAAGCCTTATCGTATTTATTCATTATTTTTGAATAGATTTTTGTTTGCCTTAGATAGACCGAAAGCTTACACGATAAATGAGTCAAGTGACGTAAGTTATCGAAAACAGAAACTGAACGCATACTTAGTGTCATCGGATTTCAGAAAGCTGCTGCTGCTTGCACCTCCGTGTAGTCTCCAACACCGTCTTCCTAGCTTGGCGTTGGTCCTGTGTTTGAGCTCGATTGAAACAACAATTATGCTTCCCGTTTTTTAAATATATTGACGTGCCGATCGTACACTGTGCACGCGCTGGTTACGTTTGGGTTAATGTCATCCTTGGATAAACACACTACAGCTTTCGTCCGTCCGACCCCAGACCGCCAACCATGGACCGCTGCTTCGTGCTTTTTGGCAACTCATCGGGATGGTCCAGGCTTGGTATCAGATAGGGCGATGAACGGAAGCTGAAACTCCTCTATTCAGGATATAAGGCAGAGGTTCTCAAGCTTATTTCGACTACTGCTCGCTTTGAGAATAAATTATCTTTTTAATGGTTCCCGAAATTGTTCTAGAAAGTATCGGTCTTGTGGGGGGGGATCTGCGATTGAAAATTGCTGAGCGAGGGGGGAGGGGGGAGGTAAGGGGTGTGGCGTCGTCATCTGCTGCCCCAGTGCTCCTGAGAGCGAATGAACCTATGACAATTTTGAAGAGCGGTGGGCGTGAACTGCATTATTGCTTCTAAAATGAATGTGACAATAGAAAAGCCGGAGACATGCGTTGCCTCCAATTCACCAATGCATCGTCGATTTTTATGGACAACATTGCTTTTTGCCATACACTTACAATCTTTTCAATCAAAATTAATTGAGATTGTAGTAGGTTCATAAGCTCAAAGCTTCAAAACATGACCATCCTCACAGTGGGTACAGTTACAGTATTTTGTTTTCCTTTCAACCCAATTTGGGTCAGTTACCCGATCATCGACGCCTGGCTACGCTCCAGTGCTGTATGCAAAATTTTGTTTGAAGAAGGCAAACGTTGTGAGATATTTTAACATAATTTTTAGTATAACTCACGAATCATGCTTCAGCACAAAGAAGGAAGATATTCGCACTAAACAAGTTAAAGAGGATCCTCCTCTACGTATTCTGATTCTGAAGTGGTCCTATGCATAATTAGTATTTAAGATTAAAACGTGTATATTTCTAGTTTTTCTACAATGCTGGACAAGTTTATGGTAAACTCCAAAGCAAGATCATGCTATAAAGTCCTTAGATAGATTCAGTTGACCACAATAAGGTCTTAGTTCCAACATATGTATATGTATAAGCCACTGATTCCCTATCCACACAAAATCTGGTAGTTAAAAGCTGAAATTACTGCATAGGATCGTATGTCGTTAATGTTCACTTGTCATTGTCAATGAACTTGGCAAAATCGTTTCAAGGCTGGTTGATTATTATCATCAATCGGCTAAAAATTTTCGAAAATAGAAAATCCTATTAAAAAAGCTCCACCTATAAGCAGAGCTGTATTCACTTTAGTTCTCACCATTATAGAATGGAGGTTTACCTCTAAAGCTAAAAGAATTGGTGATTGCTTTTATTGTCAAAAGTGTAAGATAAGCGCCAATCCATAGAGCTGTAGGTCGTAGAATGTTCTCAAATTATCATCAGGGAGAACTTGCATAAGGCATGAAGGTAACATTCCAGATCCTTTTCTGTTGTTAACATGGTCGTGATTGTTGACTTGCCTCTGGCTACGTTTGTGAATCACCCTCGCTTGAGATATGGAACCTGTACATAAAGCGACTGTCTTGAAAGGATTAATACGTAATCGGTGCCTATCACTAGAGTTGCACTGCTAATATCAGGCTGGACATTAGCCATACATAACTCTGAACGATTGAAGTTTAATTATGTGTAGATCTCTATACCGTCCAAAGAGAAGAATTTTACACGATGACAGAGCTTCACATAGATCAAATATAAAAAAAAATACAATCGGGCTCCACAACTCCTGGGTGATACAATTCAGCTATAAGTAAATCAAAACTCACAAGATCAAAAGCCTTACTTAAGAGCTGTAGGCATTGATTTACCAACTGAACTTACAATGCCATTGGAAAGCTTTAATAAACTTTTAATAACTTATAAAAACCTAGGGGTACAGATATTGGTCGAAAATCGCTTAAGGACTTTTTTTTCGATCCCGACCATTATAGGTATATACTTAATATTTGGTGTAGACAATTAAAATTATTTTACTGAAATATTGTCAATACCGGTAACTTGACACTGTATTGATTTAAAAGCTTCTTAATTTATTTGAAGCTGACATTGAAATTAGTTTCAGCTTTGTACATGTTATTGCTATGGAAATTCAATATGCGATGATCAATATGCTGTTGACCAGCTACACGTAAGTCAACAATAGCATTTGGCTCACGCAAACTACATGGAAGCACGGTGCTATTAGATATTTGCTGTTGACATCCCACTGTGATAAATTCTTCTAGATATGGTTAAAGTTATTTTAAACATGTCTACCAAATTTTTTATATTTGCATCTTATAGCATAATTTACATCGCAAAATTTAATGTAATACTGCTTATCGCCTGCAGATTTCTTATAGGCGTTTTTCTTCGCTGCGATCACGAGTGTGATGTTTTAGGTAATACAGGGTCTGGCACAAAGGTCGGACGGATTTCAAAAAAGAACAAAATCGGTTATTTTTACTCAAAAACACATTTATTGACGGATTCGGGTTCACAATGAAATAGCATTTGTCACAGCTAAGTATGAAAAATCACATCAGTCATGTGGTGACCGTTTTTAACTATGCATTGCTGGAGACGTTCTTGAAAGTTTGCGCAGACTCTCTCCAACATCTTCTTCTCAACTTGGGCGACTTGCCTCGTTCAACTTGTCCAGAGTTTGGAGCTTGCAGATGGATAAATTTGGGGACCGAGGAGGCCAATGGACATCACTAAACCTGGAAATAAGGCGACCACTAGGTTAATCAATGCTGTTACGTCATGTCTCGCCCCTTTTCTCCGGTCCTTTGCATCCGCTCATGTCACGTTGAATCAATAATAAAGTTGCGCTGGCTAGCATCGGCAGGCATGAGGCAGGCAGTGGAAGCATTCGACGTTTGACGGGCATTGATTGGATAATGCTATCAGGCGCGTTTAAGCAGATTCAATAAATGCCAAACTCGACAATGCCTGCCTGCACTGCCTGCAGAAAAAGGACGCGCAAATAATTTTATCCGATTGAACTGTTGACGGCATTTTCTTCGGAAAAAGTACGCTCTTGGCATATTTTTGAACGTCTGATTTTAACAAGCCATCACGCGATCGAATTGTACATAAAATCTGATAAACGAAGTAGATTGGTTGTAGTAATTTTATTTTGAATGGGGCTTAACTTGGGTTAAGCTTTCTATACTATACTAACTATGAACCGCTTAAATTGTCCTGGTTATGAAAAAAATGTGATGAGCTTCCATGAAAGTGATCTAGTCATCTACTCTAAAATAAATAATAGCTTAAAAACACTAAAAAAAAGAACACGCTCTCATAGCTAACCGAACTAAAGAGTAGAAAATAATGTTTAATTCCAAAGAGTTTATATTATAGTAGCAGATGGTCGAACAATCAATCATAATTGAGGAGCAGACTTTCTATATGGAATTTGTCCATTTTTTCAAATTTTCAACCAAAGGTGGCATCGTAAACTAGATATACACCTCTAAAATGTTATGCTACAAAAGACATTCTAAATGCATTTTGTTCCATTCAAATTGAAT